CCACAAGTAACAAGGAAAGTAAAGAACAGAGAAGGAAAGAAAAGGAAAGAATAAAACAACCCCCAACAAGAGGTCTGATCCCAGAGGAGGAAGTGGCAGTGAGTGAAGCTGCAGCTTCTCCAATGCAGCAGGGATATGTGTTGGAAATGTTGTCAAATAGACTCCAGAGAAACCCCATCCAAACCTGAAATGCTTTGACTGAGTTAAGCAGATACAATTGTGGAAACATGGAATGGTTTAAGTTAGGAGGGACCTTAAGGCTCATTCTGTTCCACCCCTGCCATGGGTACCTTCCACTGTCCCAGGGTACTCCAAGCCCCATCCAGCCTGGCCTTGGACACTTCCAACGATGGGGAATGTTCCAGTTTATCTTGGCTGGGGTGGCAAAGGTGCCCAATGCAGCAGTGGCTGAGCCTGTAGCTGGATGAGACCTGAGGCTGCACAAAACCTCATCTTCATTCATGAGGGGTCTCCCACTTGGGGAAAACCCTGGGGGTTTAGGATCTTTCAATTGGAGAGGCATTTGGGTCCTCAAATGCCTGGATTAAATGCTGGGAAATGCTTTGGTAAATGCTTTGGAAAGTGTCACACTGTGGGAGGTGGAGTCTCAGTGGGATTTGCTGCAGTTCTAGAGGTGATGGTCTCTGCTGTGTCCTCACTGATGTTACAACTGGTGGTAGCTCCTCACTCAGTGCTCAGGTTACTGACGAGCCTGAGAGGTGCAGCTCATTCAAACCCCATCAGAACTGCCTTTATTGTTCCCACGCTCTGTAAGAGGTTTGGAAAACCACAACTTGGGATTACAATGGACATCTCAGTGTCCTGAGTCATCCTTCCCTGGGCTTTGGTGGTTCCATGTTTCACATAGTCTCTGGACCACCTCCACAACTGCAGTCTTTGTGTCCAAGGAGCTGCTGTCATTCCAGTGGTTCCTCTCAGTTCCACACGTTGAGGAGAGCAGGAACATGAGGAATACAGACAGAGTGAGGAGATGAGTCACTGATCAAACCCTTCGTGGGATTTTGGGGCTGCAGTCCCAGATCTGGAGCTTTAAGGCCAAACCTTTTTTTCTGGGGACGTGAGTGACTCAGCAGCAGCAAATAGACAGAGGATGTCACAGACAGGGAAACTCAGCAGGGGCTGGGAATATCGACCTTTAAAAAGCCTTTTTAATACAAATTTGGAAGAATGAAGCCGTTGGCATCTCTCTTCGTCATCAGGTTGGAACAGATTCCTTGGGATATTGCCCAAATAGTGCAGAAGTAACGCCTTTGAAATGCAGGGCAATCAACTGACATACTCTTGGAACACCAAAATTCTCTGGGATTTAGTGATGGGTTGTGGGAGCCCAGTTCCACAGGGTCCCTGAAGGGACATGGCAGAGGAAGAACAAAGGAAAAGCTGTTACCACTTTACAGAGGCTCTTCAGTGCCCTTGGATGGGCACCTTGGCTTTCAGCTTGGCTTTGCTTACAGAGGCACAATCCATGTGTCCTGGAGCACTTAAAGGGTTTGGGGAATCAAAAAGAAAAGTGTTTAATGCCAGCAGATAATGAGGTGACAATGTCCCAGGGCTGCTCTCTTCAAGGACACAAATTTGCCTGTGCTGTTAAAGCTTTTTACTCCCTTATCCTCTCAGGAAGATGACAAATGTCACTGGACACAGAGAGGAGAAGGAAAGTTGGGGCCAGTTGGGGTTTCCAAATATCTTAAATGAACACATCCAGCTAAAGTTGATCTACTTAAGGTGGGATTCTACTCTTTTTAATTAAAATCTCCCCAAAAGTTAGCCTTTAGGTTGCTCTAGAGTCTCCAGAGAGGGAGAGGCCTCACCTTCCTATTGACAACATTGGCTGCTGTTCTCCCTGAAAGCCTGGAATAAATGTTATATTTGGTTGAAGGAGCTGTGAGCCCAACAAACTCCTCCTCTGCACAGGCATGGGGGGGTTTGCTCCTCATACCTGCAAGGGGAGGAAAAAAACATCACTTTGCTCCTCATTATTCAGCTTAAACACATGGTGGGATCCTTGGGATTGTCCTGAGCAGGGCCAGGAGTTGGACTTGATGATCCAGCTCAGGATATTCCATGATTAAACAGGAACATTAATCTAATCCTCCTCTTCCACCTCCAAATGCCCAACCCCAGCAGCTGCTGATGGAAGTCACCCATGAGCACCTGTAGCAGATCCTGATCCTTGTGCAGCCTTTGCCATCCCAAAGATCCATGGAGTGACACTTCTCATCACTTGCAGGAGTGTCTTCCATGGGGAATTGCTGCCAGGAAAACCAGACCTGGGCATTTCTTTCTGCTGGAATTGTTGGGCAAATCCCTGGGAGTTTGGACATGTATTTATTTTTCAATGAAAGAGGTGGGTTCAGAGTGACAAAACTGCAGGAAAGGTGGGTAAATCCTTCCTGGAGACATTAAATAGATGATTTTCAATCCCATCCTTTCTGGAATATCAACAGGGCTCTGTGCCATGGGTGGGAACACTTAATTCCTTTGGCTGCAATGGGATAAGGCTTAGCCCTGGAAATCCCTCTTCCAGAAGTGCTTTTATGTGATTTTCTTGGCATTCCCATGGCCTGGGAACATGTTCTGCTCCATGGAGGAGAAGTTCCTGCACGTAACCCCGAAAGCCACTCAGTGTTTCAGGGTAAAGCTGTGTGGGAGCTCTGGAGCTGAGCACTTTCTTTGGGATCCAGCCTAAAGGAGCTCAGAGAGTTCAGCATTTTCTTGTTTGGGCCCTGGGTGAGTTGGCATCTCCTGGGAAGTGGAAGGACTGAAGTTGGCTCGTTGTCTCCAGGTGTTTAATTGCAGAGCTGGGCTGATCCAGCCTGGCTAACCCGGCCCAAACCTTGGCTTGGGAGCATCTCCCTGCCCTGGAATCACATCCTTGGTAACTCCTGGCCTGGTGGCTCTGCCAGCTGCTCCAGACAGGGGATGGAGTTAAAACCTGACTGCTGTCCCTCATCTGGAATGAGCCTTTCCAAAAGCTTAGCTCTGATCCTTGGGATCCATCTTCCTTGGTTGTAAAAACCTCTTGGAGCATTCCTGCTCTTCTGGCATTTCCAGGGACTGCCCAAAGTGCTCTCATTCGGGGGTGATGCTCCTGGGGAACAACTTTTGACCCCAAATTGTCTTTCTGCTCTTTGGCTGGTTGGGATGGTGGTGTTTATGGCCAGGTGAAACCAGCCCCACCTTCTGGTCTCTGCTGGCTGTTAATCGTGGACACCTCCCAAGGTGCTGCTTTGGGATCTCTCCCAAGGCTCCAGTGTTCCCCCTCTTCTCAGAGCAGAGACAGGGAGGAGTGGGAGATGGGAAGGCTCTGAGCAGCAGCTGGTGCCGAGGCCAAATCTTCTAAAATTACTCTAAAATGACTCTTGCAGGAGGATTTCGTGGTGGCACAGAAACCCTGCACTGCTCATTGTTTGATTGCAGTTAATTGAACAAATTTCTTAAAATTCGTATAAAAAGTTCATCAGGATCAGAAAATGGAAGGAACGAGCTGGTTACATTTTGGCACAGAATCTCCCAATCCTTTTCTTTGCCTCTCTCCCCTCCCCAGGAGAGGAAAAAAAAAAGAAAAAAAAAAATAGAGCTGTACCTAAAGATGTTAAACCAGAGGTGTTTTTCCAAGTTGGGTCAAATTTATGGTTTGTGTTCAACAATTGTTGTTCCTTCTTTTCTTTCCCCCCCTTCTAACTCCCTTTCCCTTTATTGTT